CAGGCGGGCCCGCGCGCGCGCGCCCGCCGCCGCAGTCTGCTGGTTGGTCCGCGTGTTGGTTGCGTGATAGCGGGCACCGCCAGCCAAACCTCGTGGGCAGCATGTTTGAGTGGACTGTGGGTGGAGCTTCCGCGGGGGGGAGAAGGAGGAGGAGGAGGAGGAGGAGGAGGAGGAGGAGGAGGAGGAGGAGGAGGAGGCGGAGGAGGAGGCGGAGGAGGAGGAGCAGGAGGAGGAGGAGGAGGAGGAGGAGGAGGCGGAGGAGGAGGAGGCGGAGGAGGGAGGCGGAGGAGGCGGAGGAGGAGGAGGAGGAGGAGGAGGAGGAGGAGGAGGGAGGAGGAGGAGGAGGCGGACATCATGGATGGGGGCTATGGTATGTGAGGCATTCCCAGACAGAGGCTGGGCCTTCGAGGGCCGAGGGGGTTGTCCTCTCGTGCTCGGCGGGAGGCGGCGGAAGGTCGGCGGAAGCAGAACGAGGCCGCTTCCGCCGGCGGAAGCCGGCGGAGGCCCGCCGTTCGCTTTCAGGGCATCGATCGACCTCGATCGCGCCGCGTCGTTTACACGGTTGTAGCTGGAGCCCCCGCTAAACTTCCAGGGCTATGGGAGTCGCGCTGAAGGAAGGAAGCTCGGCGGAAGGCGGCGGAAGTAGAAGATGTGCCCCCAGGAGATGAACACGTTCAGGGTTTCCGAAGTGGCCCACGTCTCCCCAGGTCTCACGGCCCGTCTTCTCTCAGAGCGTCCCCTGGTCCCCCCAGGGGCCGCGCCCATGCCTGGGGCCATGATTTGCGAACCCCCCTCGGACTCGGAGACGCCCCCGACGACGGCGACGGAACCGCGACGACGACGACGACGAAACCGCGAGCAACAGCGAGCCCGGGGCCTGACCGTGTACGCGCTGCAGCTGTACATTTGAACCGCCTGCCCTTTAGGGGACCGCTCCTCCGGGAGGCTGGCACGCAGGCTCCTGTCCTGTCTTCTGTCCTGTCCTGTCTTCTCCCTCCGGTTCGGTTTTGGAGGCTGTCGCGGCGATCGCGGCGGCCACACATCAGGGCAGTTTGCTCCTTGCCAGCAGCCCCCACCCGCTCTGCGAGGCAGACACGGCCCATAGGCAGGAATATGGCGACAGAGCGTTGTCAATGTATGCCCAACATGGGCATCTTTCTTTGTTTGGGGGGGAGAGGGGTCCGTTATCACGTAACCAGTTTTTTGTGTGGTTATTCTGCAAAATCACGAAGATTGTTCGTTGCTCTCAACCTGTGCATCTTTTCCTCCTGTCTGCTACTCAAGTCGCTTCGCGTTCACCGCCCGCCGATTGCAGTTCTCGTCGGAAGAGACGCAGACGGCGCCAAGACGGGATGACAATATCCCGAACATGGCGGAAGATCCCCCCACAGGTGATTTTTTGTGTTTATTCTTGCGCCCCATTTCTCCGCCATCCCGTCGCTGATTTGGCTCATGTATGCCGGGGGCCGATCGATGTTGAATTCGTCGATGAATCGTCGGCCCGTCATCATCACTAGCGGATCAATGGTATGGACGCTGGCTTTTTTGACCCGTGCGCCATAGCCACAGGAGGAGGCCAGAGAGAGAGAGCCGGAACACTGCCCGACACCAGTCAAAGACGGCCCGAAAGTGGTCGCCCACGAGGGCCGCAGAGGGCTCCGAGAAGGGCCCAAAAAGGGGGCCAAGAATGGCTTAAGGCGGTCCAGGGTGGCTTTTGGACGGCTCAAGCGACAACGCCTCCGCGTTGAGCCGCAGCCCCGTCCGAGTGCTACAAAACGGGGCCAGGATCTGGGCCGTTTTAGGGCTCCGTTTTGGGAACCAAGTTGTCTCGAGAATCGTCCACAATTTATACGGGAGCGTGCCAAGAAACGTCGTCGAAATTTGCATGTTGAGTATTTTCGACGAGTCTGAGAGTCAGCTATAAGAAACGTCCGAGCGACTTCAGGCCAGGCTAAACTCACCCAAAACACATTGGTCCGATATGTTTCTGAAGTTTCGAGTTGGTAGGCGAAGTTGGGCCCAAGAGGCGCTCCTGAGGGCCTGGGAACAAATTTTGGAGGCCAAGGATGGGCCCCGAAGGGGTCGAAATGAAGTCAAGTGTGCCCCGAGAGCGAACGGTCTGACATTCGAGCTCGTCTTGGACGCCGTCTGGAAGCCGCCTTGGGGCCCGCAGAGGGTCCACGGCGGAGCCTGGCAGCGGATTGGCGGAGGCCCCAGGGGGGGGATCACAAGGGGGGGCTGAAGCCGTGCAGGGAGCTCTCACAGTGGATTCCAGAGGCTCACGCCATCCCGCCGGCCCCCCAGGGAGGATGGGTGCTGCTTTCGATCTCGTGCGTGCTCTGTCACTTCCCGTCGTGCTTCCTGCGCGTGGATGTTTCTGCTTCGTCCTCCTCTTCCTCTGCGTCTGTTTCGGGATTTCTTGGGGGGGCCTCTTGGAGGCCAAATGGGGAGGCTTCTTGGTGCTTTTTCAACGCTCCCGGGGATTTTTGTTTGTTGCCCGAGCGGCTTCAGGGAGGGTGGGTATTCACATCGGGCTGGCAAGCTTGGAGAACGCTCAGGTTTCCGCAGAGAAGGGGTGGATGATAGCCTCGAGCGGAGACATGTCTCCCAGGACCACTCTGGACGAGCATCCCAGGACTCTCTCTCTACACGTGGCGGCAGGGTCGGCGTATTTTCTTGAACAAGACAGCGCAACTTAATTCACCGCGTCGTGAAACATGGAAGTGATGCGTATTCAATGATCCTGTGCCCGCCGTCCAGCTGGAAGCCAGTCCAAGGCTGGCGCTCTGCCCGGCACTCGGCGCCAGGCATCAGCAGCGGCCGTCGACAGCACTGATCAGGGTCAGGCCAGAGGGTCTCGCGGTGCTCTTGGCACTCCTTGAAAAGCAGGAGATGCCGGTTGTCGTCAGCCCCAGCTTTTCCCACTCGTGGCAGAGGCTGTCTCGAGATTGGGAGGCGGGGGCAGGGATAGGGAATCTGGAGCACGATCTCTCGGGCAGGCCGGCATGGCGGCGTTCCCAGATACGGGGCTCAGCACCCCTGGACCTGCCCCACCAGGCGGAGACGCCTCGCCGAGCCGCGTGATTGAGGCGTTTCCCGACGTGGAGTTCGGCACCCCGCAACCTGCCCTACTATCGGGCGAAGAGAACTATGCACATGCACCGATCCTGACAACGCCCATCCTTGACCCAGGATCGGTGCATATATCTTCCTGGCCAAGGTAGGAGGGCGTATGCACCGATCCTGGGCTCAGGATGGTCCTGGCCAGAATCGGTGTATGTGCATAGTTCTTTTTCCTCTATACTAGGAGGAGACGCCTCGCTGAGCCTACTCGCGTGTCGCGAAGCAGGCCTCGCTGCGCCCCGCTCGTGGTAGGTGCTCTCGGCCGCTCTCGGCGCACGCGCGCGGCTGCTCGGCGGACGGGGGGTTGCGCCGGAGAGCGGGCGGAGGCCTCGGCTGCGGCGGCCGGGCCCGGCGAGGCGGCCCAGGGCGCGGAGGTCCGCGGCTGGACGGGCCACCTCCCGCGCAGGGGGGTCGGGTCGGGGGAGAAAAAGATACGGATACGTGTTGTCCACCTTCGTTTTCGGCCTTTCCTGGTCCTCCTGGGGAATCCTCGTTGCCACCGCTGGATTCGCCTCGAAATTCTGGTCAGAACGCACCCCAAGAGAGGTCTGGGGACAACACGTATCCGTATCTTTCCGCCCCCCAGACGAGGGCCCGGTGGAGGGACGGTAAAACGACGCGAAGATCGGGACAAAATCGGATCGGGATGACTCGAAATCTCTGAGGATCGGCGGGTTTGGAGGATGTATTGGGCGCCGCGGCCGCTCCAGAGCGTTCCGGAACGCTCTGAGAGCGCTCCGGAACGCTCTGGAGCGATTTATCCCGATCCTAGCCCTGCTTTAGACGGGAACGTGGAACTTGCAACTTGGGTCTCCGCGCAAGGATCCCACGATGGAGCCAGTGCCGGGGGCGTGCAGGGCGCGAGGCCGCGTTGCAGGCCGTGGAGGGCAGGGGGAGACGGGAGAGCCGCTCTCCTCGGCCCGTCTCGATTCCTCCCCCCCCCTCCTGCTCCTCTCTCCGCCAGGGCTGGACCGAAACGCTGTTTGGCTGGACTTCGGCTTCGTTGTGTTTTTCGTTGTGGCAAGGGCGGCACAGGAAAAAACCGGCAGAGCAGAACGAACAAAACGGAGCGAAAGCACAGCGAAAAGCAGCGTTCAGGTCCAGCCCTGCTCCCCGCGCGTTCACACATGCGTGCAGTCGGGGCCCTGAAGAAGGAACCCTTTTTGTTGGGGAGGGGCTCCGTGTTCCTTAGTTGCTTTACAGTGCTCCTCGGGTTTTCCGATGTGCTCTTGAGGTTTTCCATGGAAGATCGGAGTTTCATATATGGGACAAAGGGGCCTCGTTCCTTATTTATCGTTCCTTAGGTCAACGCCCCGACTGTATCCCACCGCTGCTCCTCGCCGAGCGGCCGTGGAGAGCCCCGTCCTGCGCGGCACGTGCGGCGGCGGTGCGGTCCAGAAGTTCGGTCGGTGCTGCTCGCCAGGGCGGCTCGGGCCAGAATGCGCGGCCTCAGAGGGTGGCTCGAGCCGCCTCGCGGGCCCGGAGCCCGCGCCAGAGGGAGGAGGAGTGATGGGCCTGTTTTCCGTTTTCCACCACCACGACGACCATAAGTTGGAGGGGGAGGGGGTCCTCCTCCTCCTCCTCCTCCTCCTCCTACTCCTCCTCCTCCTCCTTCACCTCCTTCACCTCCTTCCCCCCTGCAACTTACAGTTGTGGTGGTGGAAAGTAGGCCAATCAAGGAGGAGGCACCAAGAGGGGAGGGAGGGAGGGATGGAGCCTGCGGGAGGGAGGGGTACTGGGTGGAGGCGAGGTAAGGCGAGGACGCTTGTAGGTCGTCGCTCCTACAGATGGAGAAACACCTGACCCCCGCGTGCTAAAGATGGATGCGTGGCATTCAGTTTCGATGGATAGTCTGCCTGCCCGTAGCTGAGGGGCCCATGGCCTTGCCGCCAGGGCGTTGGCGGATGGGGCACTCCGTAGCCAGCCCTGCCGAGCGCGCTGCATTAAAAGGAGAGGGGAAGGGACCGCAGGCCCCCACGGCAGTTGGAGGATGAGGATGAGGATGAGGATGAAGATGATGATGCTGCTGATGATGATGATGATGATGATGATGATGATGATGATGATGATGATGATGATGATGATCATGATCATGATGGTGATGATGATGATGATGATGATGATGATGATGATGATGATGATGAGGATGATGATGATGGTGATGATGCTTATGATCATGATGATGATGACGATGATGCTGCTGCTGATGATGATGGTGGGGGTGGTGGTGATGATGATGATGGTGATGATGATGATGCTGATGATGATGCTGCTGCTGATGATGCTGATGATGATGATGCTGATGCTGATGCTGATGCTGATGATGATGATGATGATGATGATGATGATGATGATGATGATGATGATGATGATGATGATGATGATGATGATGATGATGATGATGATGCTGTGATGCGGATCTGATGATGCTGATGATGATGCTGATGATGATGATGCTGATTCTGATGATGACGACGAGGATGAGGAGGAGGAGGAGGAGGAGGAGGAGGAGGAGGAGGAGGAGGAGGAGGAGAAGGAGGATGTGGTGCATGCGAGGGGGACAAGGGGAAAGATAACTGGAGAGCCGTGCCTGCTGTGCTCTTCTCAGCGCGCAGGTGCTCCAGGTCGAGCTGCAGGCGCTCAATCTCGAACCGGAGCAGCGCATCACGTACGGAGGCGCGCCGACGAGGAGGAGCCGAGAGGCAGAATCGCGCCACAGAAGGGAAGGAGGAGGAGGAGGAGGAGGAGGAGGAGGAGGAGGAGGAGGAGGAGGAGGAGGAAGGAGCAGGAAGAGGAGGAGGAGGAGGAGGAGGAGGAGGAGGAGGAGGAGGAGGAGGAGGAGGAGGAGGAGGAGGAGGAGGAGGAGGAGGAGGAGGCGGAGGAGGAGGAGGAGGAGGAGGAGGAGGAGGAGGAGGAGGAGGAGGAGGAGGAGGAGAGCCGAGAGGCAGAATCGCGCCAGAGAGGGGAGGGAGGAGGAGGAGGAGCAGGAAGAGGAGGAGGAGGAGGAGGAGGAGGAGGAGGAGGAGGAGGAGGAGAACCAATGTAAACCCAAGAGTCATCAACGATGTTGGCATAAGCCCTCCCTCCAAGCTCCCTCCTCACAGGCCCCTACAAGGGTTCATTTCCACTGAGGGAACTGCCTCGTTGGAAGACAACCGTTTGAAGACCCTGAAGCATGCCAAAACATGATTCGCTGGACTCCAGCGCCACGGACCAACCTGACTGTTGCGTCTTAACGATCCTGAATTGTGCCAGAGCGCCTTTCCTTGGACTTCAACACCGCGAACCCATCTAATTGTTGCACCTCATACTCCTGAACCTTTCACAAACACCATGTCTGGTACGTTGACCATGCGAATCCGTGAGACTTTTGCAAATGTTGAAAACGAATGTGCGCGGCGCCAAGACGAGAGCCACATTTAAGAAAAGAGCCGCCCTCAATTCGTCAAGCTCTTGCACATGTTTAAAACGAATGTGCACGGCGCTGAGGCGAGAGTTACATTTTGAAAACGACCCGCCCACAATCCGTGAAACTCTTGCAATTAGAAGCGAATGTGCGCGGCGCTAATGCAAGAGCCACATTTTGGAAACGACCCGCCCTCAATCCGTGAAGCTCTTGCGATTTTTAGAAACGAATGTGCGCGGCGCTGAGGCGAGAGCCACATTTTGAAAACGACCTGCCCACAATCCGTGAAACTTTTGCGATTTTTGTGAAAACGAATGTGCGCGGCGTTAGGGCGAGAGTCAAATTTTTGGAAACCATCCGCCCTTCATCTGTGAAGCTGTTTCATTTTGTAAATTCCAGGTTCATCAATGGTGAGGACGTCTCAGGCGGAACGCCCGGCCCGCCCCGTCGACCGGCCTCGGGGTGCGACAGGGAGACGTTATTCATGAGGAGAAGGAATGGAGGAGGAGGAAGAAGAGGAAGAGGAGGAGGAGGAGAAGGAGGAGGAGGAGGAGCAGGAGGAGGAGGAGGAGGAGGAGGCGGAGGAGGAGGAGGAGGAGGAGGAGGAGGAGGAGGAAGGAGGGAGGAGGAGGAGGAGGAGGAGGAGGGAAGCGCATGGACCCCTGTTACCACTTGTCGTTCTCCCCCTTCCTCCCCCTTCTTGTCCTCCTCCCCTCCTCCTCCCCAGACCTCCAGTCCCTACGATGGCGATGCCCTGGATTGCACACATACAGCCTCAGGAGGTAGTCCAGGCTGGCCTCAGCAGGCCCCAGGGTGGTTCTGGGCGTCGCAACGCCTTTCAAACGAATGAAGACGACTCCCACAAACAAATCCTCGAGCACCAACAGGGGGGGGAGAGCCGTCATTGAGTGCGAACTGCATCCTTGGCAGGCGTCTGGGCGCTCGGACAGGTCTGCCTGCGTCCCTCCATC